GGCCGTCCTAGAGATGTATTCCAGGGTGGTGGGGCCCAACCCCGATGTTATGCTCTTCCAGCCAGGCCTGAGGCTGAGGCTTCCGATGCAGTTATCACAGGTGCGGTTCTAGTTTATAGTAGGGATGCTTTAGTGCTGTTTGATCCAGGGTCTACATACTCTTATGTGTCATCTTATTTTGCACCGTATCTGGTCATGCCTAGCGATTCTTTGAGTGTTACTGTTTATGCTTCTACACTGGTGGGTGATTCTATTGTAGTAGATCGTGTTCATTGCTCTTGTGTAGTTGTTATTGGGGGTCTTGAGACCCGAGTAGACTTATTACGGCTGGACATGGTTGATTTTGATGTCATATTGGGGATGGACTGGTTATCACCTTACCACGCTATCTTGGATTGTCATGCCAAGACTGTGACCTTAGCCTTACCGGGTCTATCTCATCTTGAGTGGAGAGGGACTCTTGGTCATTCTACCCGTAGTGTTATCTCATATATGAAAGCTCGGCATATGGTCGAGAAGGGGTGTTTGGCTTATTTAGCATATGTTCGTGATTCTAGCGTTGAGGTCCCTTCTATTGATTTAGTGCTAGTAGTTCGTGAGTTCCCTGAAGTATTTCCTTCAGACCTGGTGGGTATGCCACCCGATAGGGATATTAATTTTTGCATTGATTTGGCTTCATGCACTCAGCCCATTTCTATCCTGTCGTATTGTATGGCCCCGCCCGAGTTGAAAGAGTTGAAGGAGCAGTTGCAAGACTTGCTTGAAAAAGGTTTCATTAGACCTAGTGTTTCGCCTTGGGGTGAGCCAATGTTGTTTGTTAAGAAGAATGACGGGTCGATGAGAATGTGTATAGATTACCGGTAGTTGAACAAGGTTACAATTAAGATTAAGTATCCATTGCCGATGATCGATGATTTGTTTGACCAGCTTCAGGGTGCCCAAGTGTTTTCTAAGATCGACTTGAGATCCAGCTACCATCAGTTGAGGATTAGCGCATCTGATGTCCCTAAGACAGCTTTCCGCACTCGGTACATGCATTATGAGTTCTTGGTGATGTCATTCGGGTTGACAAATGCCTCAGCAACTTTTATGGATTTGATGAACCGAGTGTTCAATCCTTACTTGGATTCATTCGTGATAGTCTTCGTTGATTATATTTTGATCTATTCCTGCAGCCAGGAGGAGCATGAGCAGCATCTTAGAGTGGTTCTCCAAACTTTGAGAGACAGTCAGCTATATGCCAAGTTTTCGAAGTGCGAGTTCTGGTTGAGTTCAGTTGCATTCATGGGTCATGTTGTATCAGTAGAGGGTATTCAGGTAGATCAGAAGAAGATAGAGGCAGTCAAGAACTGGCCTAGACCAGCATCAACTACAGAGATCCGGAGATTCTTGGGATTGGTTTGCTACTATCGTCGGTTTGTGGAGGGGGTTTCATCTATCGCAGCCTCGATGACCAGGTTAACCTAGAAGGCACCCAATTCAGGTGGTCGGACGAGTGTGAGGCGAGCTTTCAGAAGCTCAAGATATCTTTAACTACGGCATCGATGTTGATTTTGCCTACATGTTTAGGGCCTTATACGGTTTATTGTGATGCATCTCGTATTGGACTTGGTGCGGTGTTGATGCAGGAGGGCAAGGTCATTGCCTATGCTTCACGGTAGTTGAAGATTCATGAGAAGAATTATCCGGTTCATGATTTGGATCTAGCAACCATTGTTCACGCGTTAAATATTTGGAGGCATTACCTGTATGGTGTGGCATGTGAGGTGTTCACGGATCACAAGAGTCTGCAGTATTTGTTCAAGCATAAAGAGCTTAATTTTAGGTAGACAAGGTGGTTGGAGCTATTAAAGGACTATGATATCACCATCTTATACCATCGGGGAAAGGCCAATGTGGTGGCCGATGCTTTGAGTAGGAAGTCAGTCAGTATGGGCAGTCTTACTTATATTCCGGTCGGTGAGAGACCGCTTGCTTTAGATGTTCAGGCTTTGGCCAATTAGTTCGTGAGGTTGGATGTTTCTGAGCCCGACCATGTGTTAGCTTGCACAATCACTCGTTCTTCATTGTTGGAGCGTATTCGAGATCAGTAGTATGATGATCCTCATTTGTGTGTCCTTAGGGACACGGTGCAACACAGAGGTGCCAAGGAGGTTACATTATGAAATGATGGAGTTTTGGGACTGTAGGGTCGAGTTTGCGTGCCTAATGTGGATGGGCTTCGAGAGTTGATTTTAGAGGTGGCCCATAGTTCTCGGTACTCTATTCATCCGAGCGCCGCTAAGATGTACCAGGATTTGCGGCAACATTATTGGTGGAGGAGGATGAAGAAGGATATCATTGCATATATGGCTCGGTGTTTGAATTGTCAGTAGGTTAAGTACGAGCATGAGAGGCCTAGTGGTTTATTTCAGAGGATTGAGCTTCTCGAGTGAAAGTGGGAGCGGATCACTATGGATTTCGTTGTTGGACTCCCACAGACTCGAAGGAAGTTCGATGCAGTGTGGGTTATTATTGATAGGCTGACCAAGTCAGCGCATTCATTCCTGTGGCAGTCTCCTATTCTTCCGAGAGGTTAGCTGAGATCTATATCCGGGAGCTTGTTCATCTTCATGGTGTGCCCGTGTCTATCATTTCGGACTGAGGTACACAGTTTACCTCACATTTCTGGAGGGCAGTTCAGCGAGAGTTGGGCACACAGGTTGAGTGAGCATAGCATTTCATCCTCAGACGGACAGACATTCCGAGCGTACTATTCAGATTTTGGAGGAGTTGCTCTGAGCGTGTGTCATTGACTTTGGAGGCTTGTGGGATTAGTTTTTGCCTTTAGCAGAGTTTGCCTACAACAACAGCTACCAGTCTAGTATTCAGATGGTTCCTTATGAGGCTTTGTATGGTAGGCGGTGTCGGTCGCTGGCTGGATGGTTTGAGCCGGGAGAGGCTCGGTTATTGGGTATGGATCTAGTACAGGATGCCTTGAACAAGGTCAGGATTATTCAGGATAGGCTTTGTACAGCTCAGTCCAGGCAAAAGAGTTATGCTGACCGTAAGGTTCATGATTTGGCCTTCATGGTCGGTGAGCGGGTATTGCTTCGAGTGTCACCTATGAAGAGCGTGATGAGATTTGGGAAGAAGGGAAAGCTTAGCCCTAGGTTCATTAGCCCATTTGAGATTCTTGAACGAGTTGGAGAGGTAGCTTACAGACTTGCGTTGCCGCCGAACTTATCAGTCGTGCATCTAGTGTTCCATGTGTCCATGCTTCGGAAGTATCACGACAATCCATCCCACGTGTTAGATTTCAGCACTGTCCAGTTGGACAAGGACTTGTCCTACGAGGAGGAGTCGGTAGCTATTCTAGACCGGCAGGTTCATCAGTTGAGATCGAAGAGTTTCCCTTCGGTTCGTGTTCAGTGGAGAGGTCAGCCTGCTGAGGCATCGACCTGGAAGTCTGAGTCCGATATGTAGAGCCGTTATCCCTATCTTTTTCTCGACTCAGGTACTTCCTTCTTATGTCCGTTCAAGGACGAACGGTTGTTTTAGAGGTGGAGAATTTGATGACCCAAAAGGGTCATCACTTGTGTTACAAGTAAATTCAATGTTTCGAGGCCTAAAAACCTCCTTTTTACCTCACCTTGATTTACGTGCGTGATCCGGACCCATATCCGAAGAGCCTTCTACGTGAAAAGATGAGAAATAGAAATTTCTAAAGTTAAAAATTTGATTTTTGGTTGACTTTGGTCAACATTTTGAGCAAACGGACCCGGATCTGTGTTCCGATGATCTCGGGAGGTCCGTAGTAAAATATGGGAGTTGGGCGTATGCCCGAAAATGAATTTCGAAGTCTCAAGCCTTAGAAATCAATTTTTGAAAGAAATTGTTTTGCGGAATGATCTAAGAAATGAAGAAAAGTATTAATATTGAAACCATTGGTATCGGGCCCCTATTTTGGTTCCGGAGTAAGGTACAAACTTGTTATAGTATTTAAAAGATAACTGTGAAATTTGGTGAAAAACGGAGTTTATTTTACGTGTGTTGGACTTCCGGTTGAAGAGTTATGAACTTTGAGAGTTTTTGATGAAAATGTTGAGTTTTGAGGTTTAATTCATGATTTTACATGTTATTTTGATGATGTGATCGCACGAGTAGGTCCATATAATGTTTTTGAGTTAGTATGCACGTTTGGTTTGAAGTCCCGAGGGCTCAAGTGAGTTTCGGGTAGGTTCCGAGATATTTTAGGCTTAAAACATAGATGTTGCAGGTCCAGAGATGTTGCAGATCTCTGAACCCGCCAGTGCTGACCGCATTGATTTTGTGCTAACCGCGGAGGGGCCTTTGCGGCCGCACGCCTTTTTGTGCGGTCAGCGGTGAGGAAGGATTTCACTTGTTTGACTTCGGAAGCCTATATCTTTTGATCTACAAGGAATTTTGAGATGATTCAAAAACGAAAGTTGTAGACCTTCGTGTCTAGTTTCCCGAAAGGTAAAGAAATCACAATATGAACATATGTAGAGAAATTTATGACCAAAATACTAAAACATATCACTGCAGTCAACATTGTGACACTACTACAAAAATTACTAATAGCGGCTATTATTTAGTGGCAATAAGTGATTTGCCGCTAATTGACTCCCGACACTCAAATATTACTGGCAATAGATTAATTGCCAGGAATAGATACACTTACAGTGGCAATTGAAAGACATAGCCATTAAAAGTTTAATAGAAATCCAACTTTTAGTATTTTATATTCCCTCCAACATTTTTCCTCTTACCTTTCATTCCCGCTCACCCATTTCCTCCTTGTAAACCATAAAAAGTACCCACTAAATTCAACTCTAATTCAGCCGCCGTCTAGATATTACTTTTTAATCAATTTTTGTTTAACCCAATTCCCTTATTGACTATCATCCGACCACCGGTGGCGCCTTCATCATGGCAAGTCACCATCACCAAGTTATCTAATTCATATATATATATATATATATATANATTTCAAAGTTACTGGATTGAATATTCATAGTTGCTCCTACGCGGAGGTTGTGTTGAGTCTCCTATTTGATTGATATGTTTACGACTTCATTATTTGCATTTCTAACTTTTAATGGTTTGCCACTTTGTTTGGTGTTCTTTCTTGTTCGAACTCCTGGTAACCTTAAGTCAATGCGATTAGCGAAAATTGCTTTGGAAATAGCTGCACAGTTCATGTGCTTACATCAAGTTTCTGAATTACTAGAAGAGAGGAGAGATTTTATGCATGTATATAACTTGAACTTGCAAAATGCTTCAAATTGATAAGAGTACTGACATGGGAAATTATACGATCTCTTCTCTAATTGGTGCTATCTTGAGGGATTTTATGTTGCGTGTTGTATAGGTCAAAATTAGATCAGAGAAATTCTTCACGCTGAGATATAAGGTCGTGGTCGGACAGGCCGAGGTCGGACAGTCATCAATAGCCAAGGTCGGACAGTCATCAATAGCCGAGGTCGGACAGTCACCAATAGCCGAGATCGGACAGTCACCAATAAGGTCGAGGTCGGACAGTGATGAAATAGCTAGTTTGCTTTGGAATCCTCAAAGGAAATATTCTACTGAATATTCCCTATAATTGTACTTTTTAAAGATTTTCTAAGGATACCCCTTATAAATAGGAAAAGAGGACTTCCAAAAGGGGTGCTCGGGCTCCATCTCCCTCTCTCTAAAAAATATGTAAACATACCTCTTTAAAGAGATTAGAGGATCTGTGATCCCAGACCTTCATCAGATCTAAAAAGGGTCTTAAGGTTCTTGTATATGTTATCATTTGTCTTTATCAAATGAAAGAAGATCCACTCCACTCAAGATTTGGTGAATCTTTTCCTTTATTTACATTTTATTGTCATTTAATGTTACTTAATGCATCTTTCTTTATGCCATTAAATCTGGCCATAATCACGGCCAATATTTATACTCGGCTATGTTTTTTCTATTCATATCATTCATCTCGGATCTAGAGTTAATTATCTTTAACTAGGATTTGACCTTTCATCCTTGATTGANCATCCACTCAACTCAAGATTTGGTGAATCTTTTCCTTTATTTACATTTTATTGCCATTTAATGTTACTTAATGCATCTTTCNGTCATCAATAGCCAAGGTCGGACAGTCACCAATAGCCGAGATCGGACAGTCACCAATAAGGTCGAGGTCGGACAGTGATGAAATAGCTAGTTTGCTTTGGAATCCTCAAAGGAAATATTCTACTGAATATTCCCTCTAATTGTACTTTTTAAAGATTTTCTAAGGATACCCCTTATAAATAGGAAGAGAGGACTTCCAAAAGGGGTGCTCGGGCTCCATCTCCCTCTCTCTAAAAAATATGTAAACATACCTCTTTAAAGAGATTAGAGGATCTGTGATCCCAGACCTTCATCAGATCTAAAAAGGGTCTTAAGGTTCTTGTATATGTTATCATTTGTCTTTATCAAATGAAAGAACATCCACTCAACTCAAGATTTGGTGAATCTTTTCCTTTATTTACATTTTATTGCCATTTAATGTTACTTAATGCATCTTTCTTTATGCCATTAAATCTGGCCATAATCACGGCCAATATTTATACTCGGCTATGTTTTTTCTATTCATATCATTCATCTCGGATCTAGAGTTAATTATCTTTAACTAGGATTTGACCTTTCATCCTTGATTGATTTGTTCAAAAAGATTTTAATATCTTTTGAGTCAAACAATTTGGCGCCGTCTGTGGTGATTTTCTAGTTAAAATTTTAGTTTCCTCTAGATTCAAATTCAATTCAATCCAATGACTAACCAGTCCAAAAACTAGCTAGCCCGTGCTATTTTTACGCAGTCCCCCAGTGGCCCTTTACTGTCTATGAATCCAGTTGTGTTGGGCTTCGATTAACTTTTGTGGCAGTTTCCTTAGAAACTTAAACCGGTCAGCTTTATGTTTAAGGGACTATCATCATGTCATAGAAATGATGGAGAAAATAAATTTTTTTTTGATCCCACACAACCTAAAATTTGGAGCACATTCAAAGTTGCTTCTGAATCATGTCTTGCAGAAGATGTGCTAGTTGCAGGAGCCATTTAAAAAAAAGGCACACTATAATATCCAATTTGCTATCTAACGTTACATATTGTCTATTGTCAATTTATCTATGGAAAGATTTTACCTAACAATGCAAAGCCAAAGGTAAATAGTTGAAAGAGTAAGAAAGCTATAACCATTTAGCCCTCTCTCCTTTAAGAAAAAGAGAGGCATAATATGAAACAACAACATGAGCTTTAAAAGGGAGTACCACTTCCACTCTTAGTTTCAGCGGGGTTGTACAAAGCAGACCGGTTTCTCGGTCTCCTCTAACTGTCGTACGACTTCTTCCATCGACGGTCTAACGGTAGCCACGTCGAATACCTCCATTGTTGTTTCCTCTAACAATTCATAAATAGAACACCTACGTCCTGGGACCCAGAATGCAACATGTCATGCACATGTCATATGACTTTCATCCTCGTTAATCAAACGCAGGTAAACCTGCTAATCCAGGTCGCCAAAGGTCTTTGCCAGTTTTCTTTAAGTATATTCACTTTAGTTTTGGTGCACCAACAAGTCTTTTCAAATCTGAGTCTGTTTTTAATTTTGTGAGTACCACTCCCCCACTCATCAATTTTTGAAAAAAGGGCTTCAGAAAAATGATAAGTAAAATACAGAAAACTACAGAGAGGACAGATTTAGCTTCAATCTTAAGGGAAGCACTTTTATCGAAGTTCGGTAGATCGTCATCATCGTTGTCAATTTTTAAATTGTCAGAATGACATTTTCCAGTGGAAATGCAGAGTACCCTACAATCTAATCGGCTTTGCGTCGTCTTAGCTTTCTCGACAAAACTGGTAGCGGCCACTAAAAGCGTAACCGGAGAAGGAAATGTGATCACTCCCCTCCACTCATCGACCAATCAAATCGAGGTAACGAACGTTTTTATTTTGTTTTAACTGACTATTTCTCTAAGTGGAATAGAAGCAGGAGCAATCACTCGGGAAACACATCGTATTCTCCAATGAAAACAAAATTAAGCAAACTGGGACTCCCCCAGGAAATGCATCATATTCTCCAGCGCAAGCAAAAATTAAGCAAACTGGGACTCCCCCAGGAAATGCATCATATTCTCCAACGCATTAAAATTAAGCAAATTGGGACTCCCCCAGGGAACACCCTTTAAGGCCAATGGCCTTCGCCAAAAGGAAGATTTCGACATTGATCGAATGATGACGGGTTAACATTTTGATAAGTTCGAAATAACACCCTTTATGGCCAAGAGCCTTCTCCAAACGGAAGAGTTCGACCTCGATCGAACGACGACGTGTTAACATTTCGATAAGTCAAAATAACACCCTTTAAAGCCAAGGGCCTTCACCAAAAAGAAGAGTTCGACCTCGATCGAACGACGACGGGTTAACATTTCGATAAGTCGAAATAACACCCTTTAAGGCCAAGAGCCTTCGCCAAAGAAGAAGAGTTTGACCTTGTTCGAATGACGACGGGTTAACATTTCGATAAGTTCGAAATAACACCCTTTAAGGCCAAGGGCCTTCGCCAAACGGAAGAGTTCGACCTTGATCGAATGACGACGGGTTAACATTTCGATAAGTCGAAATAACACCCTTTAAATCCAAGGTACTTCTCCAAAAGGAAGAGTTCGACCTCGATCGAACGATGACAGGTTAACATTTCGATAAGTTCGAAATAACACCCTTTAAGGCCATGAGCCTTCGCCAAAGAAGAAGAGTTAGACCTTGTTCGAACGACGATGGGTTAACATTTCGATAAGTTCAAAATAACACCCTTTAAGGCCAAGGGCCTTCGCCAAATAGAAGAGTTCGACCTCGATCGAACGACGACAGGTTAACATTTCGATAAGTTCAAAATAACACCCTTTAAGGCCAAGGGCCTTCGCCAAATAGAAGAGTTCGACCTCTATCAAATAACGACGGGTTAACATTTCGATAATTCGAAATAACACCCTTTAAGGCTAAGAGCCTTCGCCAAACGGAAGAGTTCGACCTCGATCGAACGACGACAGGTTAACATTTCGATAAGTCGAATAACACCCTTTAAAGCCAAGGGCCATCGCCAAAAAGAAGAATCCAGCCTCATCCGAATCAACCTTCGGCCTCTACCGAATCAGCCTTCGGCCTCGACCGAATCAACACTCGGCCTCGTCCAAATCACCATTTGGCCTCGTCCGAATCAACCTTCGACCTCGTTCGAACCACGACGGGTTAACATTTTGACAAGCTCGAAATAATACCCCTATGGCCAAGGGCCATCGCCAAAAAGAAGAATTCGGCCTCGTCCGAATTAACCTTCGGCCTCGAACGAATCAACCTTCGGCCTCGACCGAATCACCACTCGGCCTCGTTCGAATAAACCTTCGACCTCGTTCGAACCACGACGGGTTAACATTTTGACAAGCTCGAAATAATGCCCTTACGGCCAAGGGCCATCGCCAAAAAGAAGAATTTGACCTCGTCCGAATCAACCTTCGGCCTTGACCGAATCAACACTCAGCCTCGTCCGAATTAACCTTCGGCCTCGATGAATCAACCTTCGGCCTCGATGAATCAACCTTCGGCCTCGACCGAATCAACCTTCGGCCTCGACCGAATCAACCTTCGGCCTCGTCCGAATCAACCTTCGGCCTCGTCCGAATCAACGCTCGGCCTCATCCGAATTCACATTCGGCAACCTTGCCCGAATTTAGATTCAGCCTACTCGCCCGTCCAGATCCGAGGACACGAATGACCTCCTCCGATGCCGCCATCCCTGCCTCGACGGCCTTCCCCAACTCTACTGTCTTCTCGATCGACTTATCACTCGAGTCATTGACCCTGATCGAACTCTGCTAAAGTTCAGCTCGTGGGGATACCACTTTGACATAAAGATCGGCACCCTCAGCCGCGATCCACACTAGTCAACCTCCCCATCTGACTTTCTCGAACTACGATTAATGAAGTCCGCTCATCAAGCTCGACCACGAGAAGACCTCAATAAGCGGAGGGACTAACAGTATAGGTCAAAATTAGATCAGAGAAATTTGGCACGCTGAGATATAAGGTCGTGGTCGGACAAGCCGAGGTCGGACAGTCATCAATAGCCGAGGTCGGACAATCATCAATAGCCGAGGTCGGACAGTCAGCAATAGCCGAGGTCGTACAGGCCGATGTCGGACAGTCATCAATAGCTGAGGTCGTACAGTTACCAATAGCCGAGATCGGACAGTCATCAATAAGATCGAGGTCGGACAGTGATGAAATAGCTAGTTTGCTTTGGAATCCTCAAAGGAAATATTCTACTGAATATTCCCTCTAATTGTACTTTTTAAGATTTTTTAAGGATACCCCTTATAAATAGGAAGAGAGGACTTCCAAAAGGGGTGCTCGGGCTCCATCTCCCTCTCTCTAAAAAATATGTAAACATACCTCTTTAAAGAGATTAGAGGATCTGTGATCCCAGACCTTCATCAGATCTAAAAAGGGTCTTAAGGTTCTTGTATATGTTATCATTCGTCTTTATCAAATGAAAGAAGATCCACTCCACTCAAGATTTGGTGAATCTTTTCCTTTATTTACATTTTATTGCCATTTAATGTTACTTAATGCATCTTTCTTTATGCCATTAAATCCGGTCATAATCACGACCAATATTTATACTCGGCTATGTTTTTTCTATTCATGTCATTCATCTCGGATCTAGAGTTAATTATCTTTAACTAGGATTTGACCTTTCATCCTTGATTAATTTGTTCAAAAAGATTTTAATATCTTTTGAGTCAAACACGTGTCATAAATATTTAGTAGATCTCCAACACTAAATGGATATCAAAACATTTAGTAAAAGAGCATTTTTGTACAAACGATAAATTAAAATTATGTCGAATAATCCCAAGAACTTCAATTATACTTCTTTTATATATGTATATTATAACAAAAGCCAATGACAAATAGGAGATATTGTGGATTAGGCACCAACAAATATAAAAAGGGAATGAAAAAGATATAAATAAAAAATAACAGACATCCCATAAAAATGAGAAGTGATAGACTATCAAATAAGTTAAAGATGACAAAGCAGTAAACCCATATGACACTAGCTCTAGAGAAAATCAAAGGAAACAGTCAACAATCATAAAAAGTTAAGAGAAAGGCCTAGAAATAGAGGGGTAAATAGAATGTCAGTGAATAAAAACAAAGAAGGGGAGCTTGATATGCCTTTGGTCTTTTGCACCATACTAAACAAAGAAAAGGTATTGACTTGCTTACTAACAGAGAAAATCGAGTTTTTGACTTATTTATGATTAATTTTCTTGGAAATCAAAGTGATTTGTCTGAGCTTAATTTTGGCAACCCTTTATGATACCATTTGTTTTCTGCTAGATGGATTATTTCCTCAACTAAGTTACTGCAGTTAGAGTCTTTTTACTAATGCAATTTCTATACATGAGGCAATTCTGTTTGTGGTTTTGACTTGTAGGATTATGATGGAAAAATTTGCTAAGATATTAAGAATAACGGATATAGTCATTGACATTGTTATTTGTACTTATTTGATTCTGGAAATGAAGTTTAACTTCCAGAGTTTGTTGTGGGCATATCCAGTAAAATGCCGTCCAGTATTGGAAGACCGGAGAGGAGTTATCAGACTATTGTCATGACAAATGATACTTAAGCACAGTTGGCTCTTCTAACAAATATATATTTCAGCTTTACACTTCATGTACGAACTTTTTTATGCACATGGAGAGTTGATTTCATACATCTTACACAGATGAATTGATGAACTATACTTGACATTTATTTTGTTTTATCTTTCCAGGTCATATGGCTTGATGTTTAGAGATTTAGCTTGCAGAAGATGTCAAGAGTTACAGAAGTATTAATGCACTAACTATTGTCTTAATAATATATGTTTTTGATGACATTTATTATTAGACTCGAAATGACACTAGCTTTTAATTCAAATGATGTACTTTTTTTTAATGTTGTTGACACTCTAAATTTATGGATTAATTTTGATTATTGTGAATCTAATTCAATATACTATGCTTTCTAGAAGAATATTAGCATATTTTATTAGTATATGGACAGAGAATATAGATATTGTAATCACACTGAATGCCAAGTAGACGTATATTAGCATTTGCCATTTTGTGCATAATTTATCAAAACTAAAAAGGTGTTTAATGCAAAGATAAAAAAAGCAAATATAGGCATAATTTAAGTTTCCATTATAATGGCATTATAGTATCTATTTATCGGTAGTAAAATGAATATTTACCGGCCATTACAAAAGTCATTAAAACCATGTAAAAGGATTGGATGGAGGGTAGGTTTAGTGGCCATGTTAATTGCCAGTAAATGATTGCCGCAAAAAGTAAGATGTTTTAGCGGCAATAATTGAGACCTTTACCAGCGCTATGTATAATTGCCGCTAAAGACTTTAGCGACATTGGATTCCGCGGCAAATAGTTACTTGCCGGTAAAGAAAATTGCCTCTAAATTGCATATTTATTGCCGCTAAAAACCTTTTTTGTTGTAGTGTGAGCTCCGCGGCCGACTCCTTTTTGTGCGGTCCGCATAGGGGGTCTGAGAGGGGTATATTTAAACGGGATTTTCAGTTATTTTTTATTTTTCAAAACTCCAAAAACATAAGAGGCGATTTTTCAAACAACCTTTCTTCTCCAAAATATTAGTAAGTGATTTCTAACTCATTTTCTTTACTCCTTAACTTCTTTTTACAAGATTTCATCCTAGAATCAATGATTTTCATGGAGGAAATTGGGTGTTTTGGGTAGAACCTAGGTTTTTCAAATTTTGGGGATTTGGACCTCGATTTGAGGTCCGATTTCAAAAAAATTATATATTTGGGTTCGTGGGGGAATGTGTAATTGTGTTTTGGTTCGAACCTCGAGTTTTGACCATGTGGGCCCGGGGCAATTTTTGACTTTTTGGGAAAAATTTTAGAAAACTTATTTCCATGCATTAGAAATGATTCATTTAGCACTTATTAATATTTTTAAGTAACTTATGGCTAGATACGAGCGAGTTGGTGGCGGAATCAAGAGGTAAAGCGATAGTTGAGGCTTGAATTGTATTCGTGACATCGAGGTAAGTGTTTGGTCTAACCTTAGCTTGAGGGATTAGGAGTTGTGTCTTGTTTGCTATGTGCTAATTTTGGAGTACGCCGTATAGGCATGGTGACGAATATCTATACGTCGGTGCCAAGCATGCCCGTGAGTCTTGTATTGTAATTGTCGTGACTCCGTTAAGGTTTATTGTGCTTCATATGAGGATTATCATTATTGTTCCCTTGCTTGGATGTTTTTGTCATATTGTTGTTCCCTTGTTGGGATGCTGTTGTTATATTATTATTCCCTTGCCGGGATGTTGTTGTTATAGTATTATTCCCTCACCGGGATGTTGTTGTTAAATTATTGTTCCCTTGTCGGGATTCTGTTTATGATTGGTGTTGATAAATAAAAAGGGAGCAGGTTGCACGCCTGCAACAGTAACATATGAAATGGGAGCGGGTTGTATGCATGCAATGGAAATATATGAAATGGGAGCGGGTTGCACGCCTGCAACGGTAAATATATGAAATGAGACCGGGTTGCACGCCTGCAACGGTAATTATATGAAATGGGAGTGGGTTGCACATCTGCAATGGTAATATATGAAATGGGAGCGGGTTGCATGCCTGTATCGGTACAATATGAAATGGGAGCGGGTTGCACGCCTGTAACGGTACTATATGAGATGAGATCGGGTTGCACGCCTGCAACGGTATTACATGTGTACTTGTTCTTCTTATTTCCTTCTCTTTGCTGGTAATTGATTTGTAGCATTCCTTACATTTATCTACTATTGTTCTATTGTTACCTGTTACTCCCTGCAACATGTTTCCCCTGCCCAACTTTAGTCGTAATTATTTGCTTCTATTTCTGCTGTATATGATTTAACTGCACAGGTTTATTTGGTAGTCTGGTCCTAGCCTCGTCACTATTTCACCGAGGTTAGGCTAGACACTTACCAAAACATGGGGTCGGTTGTGCTGCTACCATACTCTGCACTCTTTTGTGCAGATCCCAGTGCTGTAGATTTCGGACCGTAGTGAGATTGTTGTTTCTTGTTCATCAGGCGACCCGAGGTAGTTCTGCAGGCATCCGCAGGCCTTGACGTCTCCTTCTATCTACTATTCCTGTTTCTTTCATGTATTTCCAGAGACAGTGGTGTATTTCTTTCTTTCAGACCTTTATTTGTAGTACTCCTAGACAGTCTTTGAAGTTGTGACACTAGTCTTGGGTAGATTTGTTATGGATTGGTATTAGCAGTATTATTAAAAATTTAAAATGCAGCCTTCCGCTTATTCAATTCTGTTATCTAATTGTTGGTTCTTAACTCTTATCGGAATAAAATGTAAACAAGGCAAATAGTTTAGTTGGTTGGCTTGCCTAGCCTTCATTAGTAGGCGCCAACACGACTCCCGAGGGTGGAAAATCCGGGTTGTGATAGTATATTGACTATAATTGGACAGAGTTTGTGTTTGATCTATCGGTTATTTTGACGTAATTTTGAGTATAAAAGATGCTTAAACTACAGGAAAACTGCGCTAAAAGGCACTACATTTTACTACGCTAAAAAGCATTACATTTTACTATCCTAAAAGGTACTATATTTGAAGGTGTTGGTTTATGTTTAGTCAACAATGGCATGCCAATTGGAAGAGTTGGTGGAAAGAGTTGGTGTGGATGCTAGGAGGAAGCTTCCTCCTTTGATGTCACCCATGACATCAAGAGGAAGTAGTTTGATATCACCAATGACATCAAGAGAAGATCTTTACCTCTATAAATAAATGCACTCCTTCATTTGTATAAACTATCCCAAAAATAATACAACACATTGTAGTGAGTAGAGAGTTAAGAGAGAAATTCTATTAAGTGTAATTGGGAACTCTCCCCTTCCTTTGTTAATATTAAAAAGGCAACTGTTCTCTGGTGGACGCAAGATTATTTTGATCCGAACCACGTTAAATCTTGTGATCTTTCTTTTACGTTTCCGCTAACAATTGGTATCAGAGCAACATGATTCTTTAACGATCCAAGGAGGAAGAACAAGCAAAGATGAGTTCCATGAAGTTTGAAATTGATAGATTCAGTGGACGCAACAAATTCAATATCTGGAAGATCCAGATGATGGCGTTACTGCGGAGGGAAGGTTCAATCCATGCTATTGACGGAAAGTATCCTAAGGATATATCANTCCTACGGATATATCAGCTCCCGACAAGGAGAAGATTGAAAGGGATCCATTGAGTGCAATCCAACTATCCCTTGCACCTAACGTGCTTTGTGAAGTGAATACGGGTACCGAAGAGACGGCTAAACAGTTATGGGAAAAGCTAGAAGGGCTATACCAAGACCGATCAGTGACAATAAGGATGTTGTTACAACGGCGTCTTCACACATTTAAGATGGGGTCAGGTACTTCGTTACAAGATCATTTAGATGCGTTCAATAAACTTGTCATGGACTTACAGATTGCAGGAATTAAAAAGGAGGAGGAGACGCTTGCATGTGCTTTGCTATTTTCATTGACTTCAGGATATCGTGATATTGAGAATTCAATGATGTATAGCAAGGAGCCTATCAAGCTTGAGCAAGTGCGGCAGGCACTTAACTCTAGTGATGTGCGGAGGCACATTGAAGGAGATAGAGATGACCAGGCAAGTGGCCTCTTTGTAAGAGGCCGGACTAGCCAACAGGGAAAGACCAAATCAAAGCACAGATCAAAGTCTCGTGTGAACAAGAAGAATATAGAGTGTTGGGGTTGTGGCAAGAAGGGGCACTTTGAACGAGATTGCCCAATGTCAAAGTCCAAGGAAAAGGCGAGTGCATCCACAGTTGAATATGTACATGATTTTGATAATGATTATGTACTAATAACATCGTGTAATAATAATAGTAGTTATAGAAACAAATGGGTGTTAGACTCTGCTTGCACTCTGCATATGAAGTTCCGAAAAGATTGGTTTAGCAGCTATGAGAAAAGTGGAGGAACCGTAGTAATGGGCAATAATGCAACTTGTGCAATAGTTGGCATTGGCTCAGTTCGGGTTCGCTGCCATGATGGAGTCGTGAGGACTATTACACAAGTCCGTCATGTTCCTGATCTGAAGAAGAATTTGATCTCCCTGAGTACTCTGGATGAACAAGGCTACAGGTACATGAGCGAAGCAGGAACTATAAAGGTGACTAAAGGTTCTTTAGTCATGCTGAAAGGCAAGCTGGAGAACGGCCTTTACACATTGGCCGGAAGCACCATTGTTGGCTCTGCAAATGCATCTACAGTGCAGTTATCTAATGATGACAAGGCAAGACTATGGCACATGAGACTGGGTCATATGAGCGCACGTGGACTGGAGATGTTGAGCAATCGTACCCTTTTGGAAGGTGAGAAGATCAACACACTTGACTTCTGTGAGCACTGCGTTCTAGGGAAGCAAAAGAAGGTCAGCTTCAGCACTGGCAAACACAAGACAAGAGGAGTGCTAGACTACATCCATTCAGATTTATGGGGTCCCTCTAAACTTCCATCGAAGGGCAAAAAGAGGTATCTTCTCACTTTTATTGATGATTTCTCACGAAAGGTTTGGGTGCAGTTTTTGAAGGCAAAAAGTGATGTTTTTGAAGCATTTAAAGAGTGGAAGATTTTGGTTGAAAATCAAATGGAGCGGAAAATCAAGTATCTTCGCACAGACAATGGCTTGGAATTTTGCAATGAAGAGTTTAATGAATTCTGCAAAGTTTATGGGATCTCAAGACATAGGACTGTCAGGCATACCCCACAGCAAAATGGAGTTGCCGAGAGAA